AGTCACAGGAGCAAGACACAACAAAAAGCACAATAAACACATGAAAATAGAAAGAGTGCTCCAACAGAAGAGGATAAACGTGACTTGAGTAGTGAATACGACGTAGGAAAAATCCTGAACAATTTTATATTTTAATATTTAATTTTTAACATTTATCAATATATATGATAAATATATATTTTAATTATTTTAATATGAAGACGACAAGGCATGTAATGAACTAGTTTAACGTTAAGCAAATAAGCACCTGATGATGGCACTTTTCTGCCGAAACATGTAGTGCGAGTGAGAGGAGTGAAGTAGATAAGTGTATGCACTAGAAGACAGTGAAATAAATCATGGCATTATAATTACTTGCAGTTATGAGTCATAAGATTTCAATAAATCCAATTATCTAGCCAAACCCCATGTGTAGTCACTAACATGTGACAGTATATAAGAACTGGTTTGACTTTGTGCATTGTGGATCACAGGAAACAGTGGGTAGGACACCACCTAATGAGCAATCAGTTGAAAGTACATGAGGTAGTGTAAGTATGAGAAAATCTTCATTCAGGTAATAATGTAAGGATGTCTAAAAACCATAAACTTTGGAATCTTGAAAGCATAGACATATCACAGAAGTGTTCACTTACCAGAAAGAACAAACACAATTCCCCTACCAGCCCTAACAGTCAGTCAGAGTCCAGTAACTTAAATTACCAACTAGAGGGGATGGACGAAAATATGGAAACACCTCGTGAAATGCATGCCTGAATTGAAGTGTATATTTTAGCAACGTTTGTAGGTGACGCTGTAGTATCTGCGCAATACTACTACCTGTACAACCTCCACAATACGTGCAAGCTCCATTTGTTGTCGAGACGGTGTTCTGTGCAGTTTTTAGTGCATCATGTCAGAGCTAACAGAATTTGAACGTGGGCAAATTGTTGGGACCCGTATGGTGGGTGCTTCCATAACCAAGGCAGCCGAGGTTTCTGGTGTTTTGCGAGGCACAGTATCCAAAATTATGACCGCATACAGGAGGACTGGAAAAACCACACCCGATAAACACCAGCGTGGATGGAAATGTGTGTTGAGTGATCGAGGCAGATGAACATTGCATAGGATTGTGACGAAAAATAAGAAGATTACAGCTGCAAAAGTGACCGCTGAACTGAATGTCATGCTCACAAACCCTGTCAGCACCAAAACAGTACAAAGGGAACTCCACAAGCAGAGTATTTCTGGACAAGCTGCAATTCCACATCCACTCATCAGTGATCAAAATGCCACTAAGAGGAGAGTGTGGTGCCGAAGTCATAACACCTGGACTATGGAACAATGGAAGCCTGTCATTTGGTCGGATGAGTCCACCTTCACACTATTTCTGACTTCTGGCCAAGTTTACATATGGAGAGTACCATCCAAAGCTTACGATCCAGATTGTTTGCTGCCGAGAGTGAAACATGGCAGGGGTTCGATCATGGTATGGGCAGCCATATCATGGTATTCTGTCAGACCCATTATTACCCTGCAAGGTCATGTCACTGCTAACGACTATATGACCATTTTGGGCAACCAGGTCCATCCCATGGTGCAAACTTTGTTCCCCAGTGGTGATGCCATTTACCAAGATGACAGTGCCCATGTTTACACAGCTCACATTGTCCAGGACTAGTTTTCTGAGCATGAAGATGAAGTGTCATGTCTGCCATTGCCCCCACAATTGCCAGATATAAATATTATTGAGCCTTTGTGGTCTGTTTTGGAGAGCAATCTGCGTGCACGATATCCACCTCCATCATCATTAACAGAACTTGCCAATGTTTTGCAGGAAGAATGGTACAAGGTTCCATTGCAAATCATACAGGACCTCTATTTATCCTTTCCAAGGAGACTGCAAGCAATTCTGCAAGCCAGAGGTTGTCCTACACCATATTAGTCACAGTAATGTGTCTTTTGTTGGGTGTTTCCATATTTTTGTCCATCCCTTGTAGACCCCATCATTAGTCAGTATCACATGACAGTACTAAAGGCATGTTGATTTATTCTCATTGTTTTCATATCTTCTTGTTAACCACTACAAAAAAAGTAATGCTCCTAAATGTTGCTGTACCTGCATTAATTTTTTAAACCTTAGTGCTATACAGTGTTATAGATAATTATAAGTGAGGAGGCAGATTTGAAGGTTATGTATTTTGACACATTTTCTTCTGTTATGAACATCCATTAGAACAGATTTAGAGATATTATAAAGTGTTGTTATATTGAGATTACACTTTCCTAATGTTTTATAGTATTAAACTGATTTCCTGTTGAAAAACGTCCAGAATGATGGTAAACAGAAAAATCATAGTGAATAATGGGCATGTGTGGGACTATCACAATTTCTCATTGTTATCACCTTTAATTTCTGACAGTGAGCAGTTGTATTGTGAATCTACTGTGTGATAATATAGACTATAACTATAGACTGTAACAAATCTAAACCTGATCCAGGAGGAAATTAAGAGGAGATTGAACTCAGGTAATGCTTACAAAGACAAAACAACTCCGTCCAGTGTGACTATTTAAGTTTTTACTACTTGAAAACTTAGCACCCTTACATGTTTTGGTCCTTATGGACCATTGTCAGAGGGAACATCGGTACTTATTTGGAAACTACTATCACCGTGGGTGTTCTGAGTACTAAAATACATACACACATAATGCCTGGAATGCACAATATACACAAAATCCAACTTTTCCACAACCACAGCAGCTTTCCTGGTATATGAAAGTTTTTACAATTTTTAAAACTTTGTTGCTTAAGTTAAAATTTATAAACCAAGTAGGTTCGTGTCCCTTCTCCTATGGTCTTTCTTGATGGGGGCTGAACTTGTGCCACCTGTCTATCTTGAGAAGGAGATGCTTGTATCATCTTGTGTTTGTTCGTGGTTTGCTGTGTTGTTTTCACTGTTGTGGGTGAGGGTGTTTGAGAACTGGATGATTAGGAGAATATTTGGACTGAAGAGAGATGAAATGACAGGAGGTTGGAGAAAACTGCATAATGAGGAGCTTCATAACTTGTACTCTTCTCTAAGTGTAATTAGAATGATCAAGTCAAGGAGGATGAGGTGGACAGGACATGTAGCACGAATGGGAGAGAGGAGGAATGCATATAGAATATAGAACATTGGTGGGAAAGCCAGAAGGAAGGATACCACTTGGAAGACCAAGTAGTAGGTGGGTGGACAATATTAAAATGGATCTTAGAGAGATAGGATAGGATGGGATGGTATGGGTTGGATTGATCTGGCTCAGGTTAGGGACCAGTGGAAGGCTCTTGTGAATGATAATGAACTTTCAGGTTGCTTAAAATGCTGGGATGTTCTTGAGCAGGTGCACAATTGGCGGCTTCTCAAGAAGGGTTCAGCTTCATGAGTGAGTGATGAGTGAGCAGTTGTATGGTGGGTAGTTATGCTTTTTCACATGCTCTGTGTTCTGTAAAAGAAATCAGGTGGCCCAAACATTTCTGATTGGCACTGCTGAACTATGTAACCAGTTTTAAGTTATCAGGCATGATATTTTTGTCAGGAATAAAGTGTTGCAATGCAGTGGGGGAGACGGCCGTCTTACTAATGTCACTTTCCCAGATTTAAACAAAAAGAAGAATGCTTCTCTCAGTAACAACACCCCTATGCTTCTCTCATGATTTATAAGACATGTTCATATAGTACCATATGTTTGTCAAAAAATGGAAGAATATGAAAAATCAGTCACTGGCTGTCAAGCTGCCATGTGAAAAAAAATAAATGGAAAAGTTACAGATTGGGATAGTCCAAGCAAAGTAAGGTGAAACAGTCGACACTAGACCAGAATATTCATGGGAGAGTTGTCAAGAGTCTTAAAATAATATAAAATTAATTATTACCAATTACAAAATATTTTCCCTAATGCATTTCATTCATCACGTGTTGGCATTACCATGTATATGTGTTGGATTATGATGAAGCCTTCTGCGTCCTCTGTACTATAAATATTTCTTCAGCATTAAACTTTTAGTATTCTGTTTTTTACACATTCTATTATACATGTCATTTGTCATCATCATCCATTGACATGCACATGTTTTAGCTTATGAAGAAACCTTTTTTTTTCCCCTTAAATACTACTACTACTTCAACAGTATCCATGTCCACTCTCTCTATATGTCTCCTGAGTGCCTGTCACCTAGATCTTGGTCTCCCCACTGGTCATTTATTTGGCTTTAATTTCCTTCCTCAAAGAATTAGATTTTGGATTGTTAGTCCATATCACTGTGTCCTTAGTTTAAGCATTTTTTTCACAGTGTATAACATTATAAACAGTATATGCTTAATGCTTGTGTATTTCCAGAAGGAATTCGTTTAACACATTTGTCTTGTGGGTGTGATGTTGTGTGGGCCTGTAATGATCTGGGGGATGTGTATATGGCTGATGGACCTCCACACTCCCTACCAAGTTCATTTCTGTCTCCTGCTTGGAAAACTGTTGATAAGTCACAACAGATGAATGGTTGTCATCAGAGCACAGCACAACGAAAGACTTTTTTCACCAAGGTATGAACAGACATGCAGAAAACAAAATAGTCATGTATACTTGAATGCTGTTTATTGTGCCAACATGCGCTATTTTTAAGTAATGTTAAAGAAAAGGCTGCTCAAGCGGTTAATCGCTGGCTTCCCACTGTGGCAGCCTGGGTTCGATCCTGGGTCTGGTCAAGTGGGATTTGTGGTGGATAAAGTGGCGCAGGGGCAGGTTTTCTCCGAGTAGTTCGGTTTCCCCTGCCAATCTTCATTCCACCACTTGCTCCACAATCACCCTCAGCTATCATCTGGGGCTGGTACAGTAGGCCAGAAGTGGCCACAATACAAGGGACTTAGTCCAACCCCACTAGCAATAAAAAAATGATAAAGAAAATCTGATCTCTTACTTGGATTCAGATATTGTCGCATAGAACTGAATAGCAATTTTCATAAGTACAACTTTATATTTTATTGATAAAATAAATCTTCCTTAGGACTTAAATTTATCGTATTATTAACAAAATTGGTCTTTCTTCACTTGAGTTTTTTCAAAGTAAACTGTTGTGAAATAATTAGTTTCTATATTTATTTTGATGACTTTATGAATTTATATTTCAATTAACTTGTTTTCTTTTATTTTCCATCGTTGGCAGACAATAAAATAATATAATCATACATAACTTCTGCTCAGTAAAACTGGTTGTGATCTTTAGCAGTCAGACCAGAGATGAATAAAAACTATATACTGTATGAAAGGATTTTCTATGTAAGGTAAAATATGTAGAATTGTTGTAGATGCCTTAACTGTATTGGCATCATAACTGAAAGGAGGGTTTATTAGACTGTGGATTCTCAGCTTGTAAAATTGTTCATGACACTGGGAAATTGTGTAAGGTTTAAGCTTTCACAATGAATAAATGTGCTAAAATCTTCTTGGGTTATCAGCCTTGTCAGTGGTGACTTAAAGACCAACATTTTAGAGATCTCTGCTGCCATTATCAGGATCATGGTTGACGTTAACCATAATCATGGAAATGGAGGTCTCTAAAATGTTGGTTTTTAACTCAGCATTGACACTGCTGATCACCCAAAAAGATTTTAGTACATGTGCAAAAATTGTTTCAAAGTTGCAAAAGATTTGCTAAGAAATGGTCAGATATCTTAGAAATCAGGATATAGGGATGAGAAGACATTGATTTTCTTTTGCCATGAAGTCAAATTTCACTTTGAATGTAGCTTTTTAAGTTCTTACATATTTTTATCTGTGAAGCTTCAAAAAGTCCATGCCCAAACTACATATCCAATATCAGGCATGTTTGATATTACCGCATCATGGAAGGTCAGATACTGATGCTTCAGAGAACTGTGCTGCCTCCATTGGCAGGGTTGGAAGTGTGTATGGTGAGGAATTTGTTGGGTTATATACAGCGGTTGTGAGGAAGGTGGTCACTCATACCCACTAGAGAGGGTGCGGAAATGGACCTTTGTTTGGGCCATTGGGAATTATGAGCAGAAAAATGCCTACTTTCAGGGTTAGAGTACTTTCTTTTATGAAAGGGAAAGATACAGTTGTGAGAATTGGTAACCACTTTCAGTTCCGAAGTATGCTTTTTTGTTTCCCAACAAGCACTGTACAAGTGCACATTTAGTAAACATTCTCCATGGCAAAGATTTCAATTTCACAAGCAATCCTTGTTTTAGTAAGGTATAGTAAAAGCATTTAATATCATCTGTCACTGTTATGTGAAGAACACTTTCATATCAAAAGTAAAAAAAGAATGTGGGTGTAATAAATTTTGCAGATTGAAGATTTCATCATTGTTAACTTTTTCAGGTTTTTGTGGGACCACAGACATACATGGTATGGGCCCTAGACAATAAGAAGAATATATATGTAAGAGAAGGCATCAGTAATGATTCTGAACTTGGAACAGGCTGGGTTTTAGTCTCTGGAATTGAAGCTGTTGATCTCAGTATTAGGTACGTTACACATTTTATGCCACAGGACCTAATGTTATAGAGGCACAGAACCGCTGTTCCATGGGTTTGCTGGATTCATTACAGATTTTCAGCATTCCTTACCTACCTCTTATGTCTTACAAAAACGTAATATGTTAGAATTCTGGGAATAACAAGCCCTCACTTTTGTTCTGAATTCATAATAAAGTGGTGCCTTCTTCAGCCATTATCATTGAAATTAAATATAATCCTTTTCTGTGTGTAAAAAAATTGGATTCTTTCATTGTTGTCAGGAGGCAGAAGCCAAGAAAACAGAGAAAGACCATTTTGAAACAGTTAAGAAATACAAATGGACAAACACCCTGGTAATTTTCATCTCAGAATTAGTATGTGATGGAATGAAAACATAATGTTTTTGATACATGTCCTTCTAGTGGCACAGCAGTGTGGGCTCTCTCCCCTGAGGGTGGTGTCTATTGCAGATGTGGTATCACTAATACTAATGTCATTGGAGATTACTGGAAGAAGATACCTGGTTCAGTTACGGCAGTAACAGGTAAAGTATTGCCCAGCATAAAGTAGCCTAAAAGATAACAACCTATGAGGACATGCATATTGCAAATGTCAGAGGGAGCTGTTAGTTTCTTTTTCTGTCTTTTGTTGGGGTACCTGGCTGCAAAAGTGCAATGATTATGTCTAAAGATGTTTATATTGTGGAATAATTTTTCTTTTCATTCAGAAGATTCTGCAGATACTGCAGCAAGTTTTCCTCATGTGTTTCATTTCCAGATCAAGTGCATTCTGCTCATCATACCCTTCAGGTTTCAGATATTGTGGGGATTGTAGATATCTTACCTGTAAAGACTTCTACAAGAATACCCTTTCATGGTTCCAGAGTGAGAAACGTTTGGGATCATTATGAAGACAGCCCAACATGCCATAACTCCATGGAACAGGGTCCTTAAGAAATTAATTGTTCCTCAGCTAGCTCAGAAATGTCCCACATATTATGGAAATTAAAGGTTTACTGCCATGATAACAAAAGGCTGTGCTGGTTCTTGACCTGAGACAAATTAAAGTAGTCAACAGCCTTCCAACTTCGAGATTCATTTTAATATTATTCTTTCATCCAGGTCTTCAGAGTGGTCTCTTCCCTTCAAGTTTACTGAGTGGACTTCATATGTATTTTTTGTGAGTGTAGGTGGGGGTCTGGATTGGTGAATAGATTTATTGACCACTTACAGGTCGTAACTACAAATAATTGTAACACTACTGCTGATGTCCTCTAGTCAAAAGACTGGAATATCTGAAGAGTTTAACAAAGATGTAAAACTTTCCATCAGAGACCCAAATGACTTTATTGCTTCCAACTGCTTTATGGCACCAGAGAATGTTAAAGTATTTCCAGTGTTACAAGTAGGAATGATTTTATAATGCAGAACTACTATGTGAAGAAGTGGGAAACTAGTTTTTTACAACATGCATCAAGATTTCAAGAAAAAAATTAAAAATAGTTTATAACTTTTTTCTACATATTTTCAAATCTTACGTTACAATATGTGACACTGTGTTCTTTGCTGATAAAAACAAAGTTAATGTGATTCATTTATCATAAAAATTGTATTAGATACAGCATTTTCAAATTCGGTGCAAGCTCCCTAGCAGGAACAGGCATTTAAACACAGAGCAACAATGGGCATTTAAATAAACTCCGGCTAGCTCAAGCTATCACCATTTCAAAAGTCCAGCATTTAAAGGTTAGAAACAACGTTTTAGATATGGACTAGCCTCTAACAAAAATGAGTACCAGAAATTAATTAAATAATTTTCCTGGGGAGTAAAGTGTGGCCGGCGCGTAAGGCTGACAATCTTACCGCCATCTTCAAGCCAATTGTCTAGATAATGTGGGACCCTCAACGTCTCACAACCATATGGGCCTTCACGGCCTGGTACAGGGATAGCATTACTATTTTTTTTTTTAACTTTACTAGCCCTATCGATTGGACCCAACTGAGAAGCCTTTTACTTGAGGACAGAGACAGAGCCCAGTCTCTGAAACGTTTTTAAATATCTAAAAGAGGACAGTGGATAATGTACAAAAAATAAATAATTGAACTGTATAACCCTTTTCATTGTGTTTCTTTAGTGTATAAATATCACTTGTTAGTGGTTTCAAGAATATTGATTTACTGGTACATGATTTTTGTATCTTTATTTCTGATTGCAGCCACACAATGTCACGTGCTCAAGGCTTGCTGTTGCTGTGAATGAGTGAATTGATTAATTAGTTATGGCTGAACAGGTTTTCATTAAGCTTAATTCCCTTGGCTGTTGCTGATGTATCATCATTTGATCATAACATGCAATTTTTTTTATTTTTACCTTTTATTTTGTATGGATGTGAAACTTACTCTTGCACACTAAGGGAGATCATAGGTGCATGATGTTTCAGAACAGGGTGTCAAGGAGAATATTTGGAAGCACGTTTCAGAGACTGAATTCTGTCCCTGTCCTCAGGTAAAACCTACTCAGTTGAGTCCAGTTGAGACAGAATCCAGTCTCCAAAACATTTTGTTTTGAAAAAGAAACAGGACAGTTTTTTTAAAAATAGACAAGATGATAGATAATGTCCAAAAACATAATACTTGTAGCAATATACCATCGTCACAAACTTTTAGATCTTATGAGAATATTTGGACCCAAAAGAGGAAGTAATAGGGGGATGATGAGAAGCTTTGTATATAAGATTTGAGGTTTTCCTTGTGGTGAAAATTGATATTGTCTTCTAGGTTATGTCACTGTGTAGTTTTGTAGGTGGGTACCAGTGTTTTGGAGGAACATACTATCTCAGTAGATAGAGAGGAGCTTCATATTTTGCACTGTTTGTTGATTAGGGTAATTAAGTCCAGGACTGTGGTATGGTCAGGACATGTAACATATATTGTGAAATTACAAATGCACACAACATTTCACCTAAAGAGAGAGGCAGCTTAGGTGATCTAGGCCTAAATGGGAGAATGAGATTAATGTGAAGCTGAAAGAAATAGGGTATGATGGTATAGACTGGAATCATTTTGTAACATTTGAGGTTCTCGTTTCTCCCCCACCCCTGCCCCATTTGTCTGTGTTATATTGATTGTATTGACTTAGGGGGAACTTGTAGTCACCACTTAAGGACTCAGGCTTCTTCTAGATCCACAGTGCACCCCCATTGTTGCTTGGGCTCTTTACGGGCCTTGTCCTTAGCTACAGCCAAAGCCCTCCACACTGAGGCCTTTTTACTTTCCTTCATCTCTACTCATGCAGAGCCAAAGGTCATAGATCTTATGCCCAGCCATTTGGGGCACTGACATAATGCTATCTTCTGTTGGACTGCTGGTAGCAGGATACCCAAGATGCCACTGTCATTCACCAACAGGGACATCAGAGCCATCACTGGTCCCAGCTGGACACACTAACAAGCAACAGCCCAGCCCCCAGTTTCCCTCAGAAGGCACTTCTTGACCACCACCTTCTGCTAGTCAGACATTTCTTCTTGCTGTACAGACTGTTCACCCAAATGAAGTGGTTTCATTCAGTTTTAACTTCCTAGGCCCCTCATGAATGCTCTTGAAAGCTAATAGCTACTTCCTTTCAGCAGCAGGGGGCAACATCTTAGCCTTCCAGTGCAAGAGAAAGCTCTTCTCTTGAACTGCTGACAGGCAGGAAGTCTACAGCTACCTACAGTCTTTCACTGGCATGGACAGCTGACCTCCCACCACTGGCCCCAACTGGATCTATAGCCAAGTGTAACCGTTTGCCTTCACGTTTGGCACCACTTTTTGTGCTCGCTCTGCACTCCTTTGTTGAGCGACACTTTCCTCTCTAACTGCACTTCACTCACCTTTACTTCCCCTTTGTTGGTTGGTTAGTCACACGTTCATCGCTCCTCTCCTTCTTCTTCTTCTTAGGTTGGGCGTCAGTAAGCTCAGGTGATGTCGGCTTACAGCAGTCATAGGTTTATTTTGGAAAGGGGATAAACATGATAGTCAACTAGTTCAGCTGTGGGTAAAGCTGAGATCCTTCTCAAAGCGTCTGATAGGGCCTTGCTCAGGACGGGAAGGGGAGTAGTTGGTTCAGTGCTACTTTTAACCGTGATCATTTATTCATATCAACACTTTCCTTCACCTGATGACACACACAGTCAATATAAAGGAAGCTTATATATAGGTCCTTATATAGTATAACGGACGTTATTAGCACAATTTACACTTTAGCACTTTGAATTTGGGCTTGTTCAGAACAGCGGAGCCACAGATTTTGTTTCTAAATTGTTCACGAGTAGCAGGCCACTCACTTGGCGACTGACCTGTGACTGCCTTGTCTGAAAATACTGAGGTCCCCTGGATGTCAGTTCCTCAGCTAAGTCACCCCCCTCCCCTTAATTCCACTGATTGGGTAATTTTGAAAAGTAGGAGTTCACACAATTTCTGGATCTCCAATCAGCTAGCTGTAGTTTGGGACTTTGAACCTTAAAGTCCTAATGTCGTTTTTGACAGCACACTGACAGATAACCTGCTTGGCATGGGTTTCAAAACCGCCTACTTTTAAGTTACGATGTGCCGGACCTGTCAGTGATCAAATTCTCGAAGTTTTCCTCTGTGCTACTCGCAAACAAAATTTCTCAGAAAAAGCCAGTAAGATTTGGAATAAGTCCATTCCTGAAAACAAGAATTTGACTATGTCCCACTGGCTTGATTATTACTTGTGATCTGCAATTAATTTTTGTTACTGATTATTCTAATTATACTTAAACTAGTGAGTGACAGTGGAGTGGTCACACAAGTTCCAGCTGACGCTACAGTTTCTTACACAAGATATGTCCCTGAAGATAGTATACTTCATAGACATTGCCATGAGAACCTCAGAGTGTTTTATCTTGTGGGATGTGATGCCATATAGTCAGGTAGAATTTACCACTGCATTTCGGACCAACATCCTGCTGTATCTTCAGGGTCGAAGAGCAGAACAAGGAAGCAGCAGCAGGCATAGTAACTTTCACTCTGCTGCTTACTTAGCTTGTCAGTTCTGAAGATGGAGGCAGTACATGCCAGACTACATGGCATCATATCCCTGAAGACAGTACTTTTCTTGGATTCGTCATGTTCAGAATATGGTCCACTCGTGGCTTGTAAAATGGTAGTGATCTAAGGTAGAGAATCTTTTGACCAGCTGACTGAGTGTCAGCTTCTGAAGAATGGCTCTGCTTCATGCAGTTTGTTCTTGTTCTTACTATGTACCGGTTTTAGAACCATTTGTTTATATGTTACTCTTTTTTTTAGCATCTGTGAGTGATGGTTTGTGGGCTTTGGACAAGAACCACAGACTCCTGAGGCATCATCAATTTACAGTGAAGATGGGCAAGTCAGCTCCAACTTCAAGTGTTGCTGTCAACTGCACTTCTGATGGTGACTGGGAAGTTGTGACATGTGGCACATTTTTGTAACATATTATTGTATTACAGTGAGTAGAATAGATGTTCAGAGCTCACACATCCCAATATTCTGTTACAGACAAGTGTACCATACCAATATATGGGATAAATTCTTTAAGGTGTATTTTTACAGTAATGATTAATGCTAGAAGTTTGATACATAATTTGTTGATGATTCTTATTTAGTTCTGATAGGAATGGCATGTCAGTGATATGGTTTGAAGTTGTAGTTATCTTCACATATGCATGCATGTGTGACACACACACACACAGGAACACATGCACTATATCTTATACATATGTGTGCAGACTTTCAGTTTAATTGTATTTCATGTTCACTTATATTAATTTTACTTCCAGTAGTTTGTCTTTCAATTATAGCATTTGAAACATTCCCCCAACCAGAGACCCAGAAACTGCAGAAAACTGTAGCTTACTTGTACTTGATTATATCCATGTTAACCTTATGTCTCTGCTGGAAACAGCATTTCGATTTAGGTTGTATAGACAGGTGATGATTACCCAGAAGTTTTTTTGCAGTGGTTTCTCACTTTGCAGTCATTTTTGTTCCTACATCAGGAGTAATCTTGCAACATTTCTGCAGAAATGAAGAAGCCATATTTTCACATTACTGTTCTTGCTGTGTAAGATCTGATTGACATGACTGGCTGTTGTCAGCAATGACCACAAGTCTCAGGTAATATAATGAATGGCTAGTAACTGTCAAGAATACCCAATCTCCTGTACCAGTGTCAGTCAAATAATAGTTTGGCAACACTGACCCTTCAGTGTCAGTAGTGCCCAAGGGTAGATCTTCAGTGATAAACTGACGAAATATAATTTATTGAACTGTAATTTTCAAGCTACTGGGATGAAACATAAATGAAAATACAGCCTTCAAAAGGAATACAATTTTATTTTACGTATAAAATCAAGTGGCGATAGATGTTTTGAGAATGGCTGAGAAATAAATAAAAATAAAACTTTAAAAGGCATTCACAGTTTGTTACATAGGTAATCAAGCAGTAGTAAACTTTTTTAAAAATCCTCATGACATTTATAAACCCTCCACTTCCTTTCCAGCCCTCCATGCATGCACAGAGTATGCAAGGACACACAAGAAAGCATTAGCCTGGATGATAAGTATCACTGTCTGTGTAGTTGATTTTTAACACCCCTAGGTGGAGGGTATTGTTCACAGTGCTGCAGGGGATTGGCTGTTATTGACAATGGTTAGGCAGTCTGCAATGTTGCTACTTTTTAATCTTTGGTTGTAACTTATAGTATAATATAGTGGTATACATTTAATTAAAATATGATTAATCATGATGCTACAAGCATTACTCATTGTGAACTAAACTTTGTCTCCTTGTTACTTTTTAAACATTGAAAACATTATACAAGGGTACAAATGGATGAAGCTGTAAGTGACATTTCAGCGTAAAATTTCACAGAAATTACCATGGTAACCATATCTGCTTAGTGAATTGTTATAGCAGAAAGTAAAATCATGTTACTATACTATATATTATTAGTATTGTCACGTGTTGGGTGTATAACACGACAAATAACTTCACGCTGTATTGGATGTAGCGAATTTATCAGACACTCGCTCTCACAATCACACAATTTACAGTCTCACAATTACTGCCATCAGCAGTGTCACAAATATTCCTCCTGTTTCCATTCACTCCGGCGAATGCTAGACTTGCAACTGTCTTCAGCGGCTGGTATAAATCAACTGACTGGTTAATCGTTACTCACTAGTAACTCACTCTCTTTAGTAACTGCTTCACTAAACATTGTTCACTAACTAATCACTCACTACTGACTGAATAGTGTTTGCTGCTCCTTATTTAGCCTCACCACAGACAACACAAAAAACAGTTATGTGATAGTAACCACTGTTGCCTGACGCCTTGTTTATCGATTGCCTAGCAACAGTCATTGCACGGGCTTCCCTGTTGCGTGAAGCCGTGTTTGCCAGTGTTGCTAGCAACGCTGTCGAGAGTTGTCTCCTGCTGCGTAATAACTGTGGTATCCCTTGGTAACAACACAGCCGCTCCTCTGCTATGTCACCGCAGGGGAGGGAGGCGCCCACCGAGCATTGCGTACTGGTGGAAGGAGTGGGGGTATGTGATGTCACTTGCGAGACCGCGGAGTTCACATGACCCCTATTTCCCGTTGCGCCATCCATGTCACACTGCTCCCTTCTAAAGGTTGTTTGTCCCAAACAGCCTAACAGTACATCCCTGTTCCTTTTTCTTCCCGTTGTCCGTTCTCCAACTGCTACACCTGCTCCTTCTCTAAGACCAGCTCATCTCAAGTGGTTTCCTGCTAATGTGCCAGAAGATCCAGTTGTATCACATTCATCCTCACTTTGATCCATCGCACATTAACTCTCTCTGGGGAGGCCGGTGCTTCTAATTTACCGGCTCCTCCACTGTGCTCTGCTTCTTTTTCGTTTTGGAGGGGGTCAACCCCTCCACAAGGTCCAATTCTTGTTTTGTTGTAATCCGACAGAAGATCCGGATATTTGCTTCGCGATCTTTCCTCTAAAAAGCACATTGATGGTCTTCTTGCTCGTTTCTCCACTTTCCAAGTGTGATCGCTGTTCTGATCCACACCCTTCGATGTAGTTCACAGTTTCCCTCTTCTTTCTCATGTACAGGAGCTTCTTGCCGCCTCGGTCCTTTGTTCCTCTTTTTCCTTCATGGTGCATCTGTAAATTTTTTCTGAGCAGCCCTACTCTCTGGGTTGTTCGCTCACTCATGGTCATGGTGCAGTTTCTCCCAATGACGTTTTCCTTCTGCCGTGCCACTTTTGCACGGTGGCTTGTCCCTCTGCGGCCTATGGCCAATCTCTTCTGGGATCCAAACTTTTCCCATTTCTTACCCTTCGGTTCCTGGTGGCGGTGCTCCGCGGCCAGTTTTCGGTCCCTATGCCGTTTCTTCTTCAGTTCTCCGACCAGCATCACTGTGGCGTCTTCTACTGGGACCTCTTCTTTTTTGTGCTGCCGCCTCAGGTTTCCTGTCCACTGAGGTCGGCTCTTCTTCTTCTAGACGTGCCTCCATCTCTTGGCAGGTTATCATCTCTTCTTCTTCTTCTAGATGCGCCTCCGTCGTTTCTCGGCAGGCCATCGTCCTCACATCTCTTTCGGGTTTGATTACAGCCACCATCTCCTTGTGGCTGGTGCCAATATTTTCTCACATGACTTTCGTCCTTGCTTTGATTGCTTCCATTTCTGCGGCAATCTTTTCTTGCCAGGCGGCCATCTCTTCTCGCCAGGCTTTTATATCGGCTTCCATTTCTTCCTTCTCGGTTTTTCTGTCAGCCTTCAACTCTTCCTTGTCTTTCTTCCTATCGGCGTCTATTTTCACTATGGAGGCAGTGTCTGCTATACAGTCAGACTGACAGATATAAACAGAAGGAGAACTCAAGCAGAATTGAAGCAGAGTTAGTTCAAGCTAGTCCTAGTTCAGGAGCCTACAGACCAAGGTAGGATGCAAATGGATGAAGCCGTGACACTCAGCATAAAACTTTTGCAACCTCTTATGTAACTGTCGATAACTCAAATACTATGGCCTATAATATTGTGACATGTCAAACCGTTGTTGGGAAACGGAATGTGGAACGAGTTACCACGAAGACAGACTTTTGATAAATGATAGGTTGCCAAGTTATGCAACAGTGGAACGAGGTTATGGAACAATAAGGAAAGTGGCGTTTCTCCGTGCTGTGCTGTGCGGAGCTGAGCCGAGCCGAACTGCACTGGTTGCTATGCAGCAGTAAACAACTCTTGGCAGCGTTGTTAAGTGATGCCTCTGTAAACACGGCATCACGCAAGAGTGAAGAAAGCTGTTTTTTCCGCCTGTCCAACTGAGGGTTTATAAGAGAAACTGGAATAACTAAGGAGCTAGTATTCTAGTATTTGGCAGAACAGAAGTCAAAGCAGCCGCGAGAAGAAGAACTAAATGTATGATTAGAAGATTTTATGTGTGATAATCAGTGATAGTTTGTGATAACTGAGAAGGCAGTGGGTTTTGGGAGTGTGTAATTCAGTGACACTTGTATAACTCCTGTGGTATGCTGTAAATAAGTGAAGACTACTGAAGATAGAGTGAATAGATTAGTGTGTAGTGTGTGTAAATTGTGTAAACCCAGAACAGTGTTATATAATTGTAGTTACGACTTGTAGGTTGTTAATAAAACTAATCAACAATCCAAACAGCGTCCACAGTAGCCCAAATACGTTACAGTATATTAAAAGTTATATGTAAATGAAAGAATAAAGACTAATCTATCAATCTGTACATTGTTTAAACATTTACCCAAAATCTATCTGGATATAATGCAAGTGACATACATTAATAAATGTGAGCTTCTCAAAAATGCAATCCGTTTTGGTCCACCTCTACTACCTTTTCAGTATCTCCTGGATTCTGTATTCAGTTTCTGTCTTCTGACTTCTAACTTCCAGTTATATCTGTTAGGCAGCTGGGATAGTACACACTCCTCCTCAGGCTTCCATTCTGCTCTTTTGAGATCACCTCACATGAGGCACCATTGTAATTACTGTGGTAACTGTACCTGCCTAGTGAATTTTTATCACAGAAATGTGTGTTCGGTGCTATGCATTGGACATATTATGAGTGAAATACGTTAATAAATGCTAGCTTCTCAAAAATGCAATCTGTAAATAACATCTAAAAGTTTGTGATGATGGTACATCGGTACGAATATTATGTTTTTGGACATTATCCATTGTCTTGTCTTTATCTAAAAAAATTAAAAAGAATAAACAGGACGGTTTTTAGATAAAGATGAGGTGATGGATAATGTCCAAAAACATAATATTTGGATGCAGTCCATTTTGTTCCATCTCTAGTACCCTAGTATCTCCTGGATTCTGTATTCAGTTTCTGTCTTCTGACTTTGGGAACCATTGTAATTACCGTGGTAACCATATCTTCTTAGTGAATAGTCCCATAAATGCATGTTCGGTGGTATGCGTTGGAGTTGGAACATGTTTAGCCAGCCGTTACTTAGCAATGGGTGACTTCACTGTAGGAACAATATATCTCTTAGGCAGCCATGATAGACACTCTCCCATAGGGTTCCATTCTGCTCTTATGAAATCACCTCGTGTCTGGAATCATTGTAATTACCGTGGTAACTATCTGTTTAGTGAATTGTTATCACAGAAATGAGTGTTTGGTGCTGTGTGTTGGAGTTGGAACATGTTTAGCCAACTGTTTCTTAGTAATGGGTGACTTCACTGTGGGAATAGTGTTTATCCAGCCGTTGGCTGGTAATGGACGTTTGCATCAACTTCATTGTTCCAGTTTTGTTGGACGAAATGTGGACAATTTATCCTGCATGAACTGTGTTTCGTACTTTAGCTATCATAGACCTACCTTAAGCACAACCAATCACCAAGCTCAACTCACTGATGTAACTACAAACTAAACGCTTTGGGTAATTTCAATAAATAATGTACTGTACGTATACTACATAATAATGTTTCGATAAAATTTCAATTTTAATGCACAAAGTACATTTATTGCAATAAAGATCCAAATTTAATACCGTTTTCAACGTTTCTTGTCTCATTTGCAATGAGTAGTTACAAAAATGCACTTACTAGCTTTGCCATGTGTGTGTGTGTGTTCACCTAGCTGCATGTAACAGCTTGAGAAATGTAAAGATTTTCATGAAATTATATACATTACATTATAATTAATTGTATCATGTTATACAGTTAGTGCTTGCATAAAACATTCTACAGATTACATAAAATATCTGTCATTCAGTACATAATTCAGCCTTTAGGTGGTCATCATCAAACCATACATACATGTCAGAACTACGGGGTTCTTGGACTTTATCCATCCTCTGGTATTCTGGAAACTGGAAACAGATCCAGTTTCCAAAATGTTGTGTGATGTTGATGTGATGATGAATGAAGTCCAAAAACCCGTAATTCTGAGTGTTATACCCCATCATCAGAACTCTTTAGAATCTACTCATACATACATGTGTTCCAACGAATCTGCTATTATGTATTATATATTATTATTCCAAATTATGAGACACATTTTTCAAAATTTTTTTTCCTGTTGAAAAATTGAGGCCTGTCTTAAATTCAAGGAATGTGCACCTTTCTAAATTTTTCCCTAACACCCACATTCAAAAACTGGATGAATCT